TACCAGATTAGACTTGAAGCAATTTTGTAGGCTTTAGAAGTAAAGGAAGTAGAATATTAAAATTAATATGTCCACAAAGGAAATGAAAAAAAAAAACCTTGAAAAATTGAACAAAGAGCTAAATAACAATTCAGAACAGTAAAGGATGTTTTGAGATTTTAAACTAATGATAAAAAGTTGAATTATATTCAATAACATTTACTTAAGATAGGGTAGTTCTCGATAATTTTTCTGGAAGATACTTACAGAGACTTGAAAAAAAATATCAACATGTCAATGTGTTTGTGTTATACCAGAAGAGGGATGTCTTAATAGTCATTTGAGATACTTCACAATAGTTTGCAACTTCTTAGCAAGTGGAGTTGGAAAAGTCTTTTTATTTTTCCCCTAGACTGTCGCTTTTGCTCAGGAAACTAGGTGATGTCCATTAGAAGTATTTCCTTTGAGATTTTCTCTACTATTCACTGAGCCGTCAAAATTTTGATGAGGCTGCATCTCAAAATTCCAGCTGTTGGCCTCCTCCTGAAGTGGGAGTGAAGACAGGAACTGGTTACTCTCAGCTCTCACCTTCCCCAGCCTACCTGATCCTAAATGACCGCTTCCTTTTCAGGATCAGAATGCAAAATTCCATCTACACTGGATACAACTATGTAAAACATTGCTAGCATAACAAAATGTGAACAAAGATACAAAGAAACACAATTCATGTGTTTTGGTATTGATATTGTGAAATGTATCTTTCTATCTTTTTATTTCTTGTGTCTTACATGTTTTGTGCAATAAAATAAGACCACAATAGAAAATTATGTCTACCAGCATCTCTGATGAGATTTTGGTATACAAATAAAAAATGATTCAAGTGGGGTGGGTTTGATCAAAGTTGACTTGCTATAGGAAGAATTTCTCAAGAATCAGATGAGCCTCTTCTGGTTTTCAGTGTGTTAACAAAAGGGCCTCTCTTTCTTGGGAAGAACTTTGAGGTGGCCTGGGAAAGATCAGGCACAGTTGATGGCAGGGAGGAAGGGTAAAGAATATAGGCTGCTGACTTAGTCTGACCTGATCATTTCAGTTTCAGTACCTCTAAAACCTAATATCTCCTCTGTAAATTGGCCTCACTCCTGGCTTCTAATTTTTTAGGTAGCTCCGCTCTTCTCCAGCTGTAGGATCTCTCCATCTTTTGCTTTATTCCTTCTCATTTGCTCCCCCTACCCCAAATCCTATCTGTTCATCATTTTTTCTAGTTGTTATTGGTAAATTTTCTGCATTGTTTTATTCTACTGCAATCACCCTAACTCATTTTCACACTATTACAACAGCCTTTTAACTAGACATCCTAACATGTAAACTCTCACTCCTTCAGCCTTTTTTACATTCACAGTGACCAGGTTACTCATCCTATAATACAACTATCAGGATTCCCCTTGATTTAAAACATTTCATGTGTCTAAGGATTACAGGCAGGATAGTCAAGATTCTTCCAACAAGAATCTTGGTCACACAGGTTCTTCCAACCAGAACTTTACCTGCCTTCTCCTTTTATCCTTCTCCTTTCCATTGTCCCAAATTAATCTCCTGTCTTCCAAACACAAACCAGTCTATGTCTTGGCTATACATTTGATTATGCACGATGTGAATTCTATCTCAATGCTTTGCCTCCTTCAAGAATAGAGCCAGAGATTTCCTTGTTCAAGAAATCATGGGAGGGTGGGAGGGAGATGCAAGAGGGAGGAAATATGGGGAAATATGTATACATATAGCTGATTCACTTTGTTATACAGCAGAAACTAACACAACATTGTAAAGCAATTACACTCCAATAAAGATGTTAAAAATAAAAAAGAAATCATGGTCAAATTCCAACATAAAGCCATCTTTTTCACCACTTTACCTCTGGTGGGTCTTTTCTGAGATACAGTGTAATGTAGCACAAAGATATACATTGACTCTCAGCTCTGCCATTACACCAGCTGTTGGAGTGTGGACAGAAGACGTCACCACTCTGCCTGTGTTTTCTCATCCGCAGAATGTGGATTAAAATGTTTATCTTAGTTGCAGTATTTATCTCTGTGTGTTTATTTTTATTCATTGCTCCTCTCCCTCCATTATAAGTTTAAGAAGCCAGACATGTTGTCTGTTTTGTTAGTTGCTTTTTTTACTCCTGCATCTAGACCAACGTCTGGCACAGAGTCAGAAATTCATACCATTTGTTGAAGGAAAAAAGCACCTAGTAAGTGCTTCATGAATGGTGGCCATCATCATCATCATTTGTTATTACAGCATCTTTTTAATGTTGCTTGGCATTGCTATTTATTTTTTATGTGAAGTCAGGATTATATTATTTCTCCTTTATAGGTCCTTAGTAACTAGTTGGTACTTGGGCCTATGCAGAAATATACCATAGCTAATACTATGCAGGATTACATAGATCGATTATTTGGGGACATGAGTGTTTGAGAATAGAATCAAAGCTTATTCAGTGGCATTTTTTTCCTCTAAAGACAACATATTCACATCTTACAGCAAATAATCCAAGCAGAGATTATCATCTGCCCATGGGCTCTTCATGCCCCACATATTTACTTTTTTAGCAGTTATTTTTAATTGTTTTCTATTCCCCTACAAAGCCCATAAAATAATAATTTGTCACATTTTAATAACACCTCAGAGAAAATAATTTCTGACTAACACAGGAGAGTTTTTTTAAAAAGTCAAATTTACAGGCATGTATGTGAGAAGGGGTGATGTTATTGGTAGGATTCTACAGTGACATTTTAATGGTGCTATGAGAAATCAGTTCCAAACATCTAACCCCACTCCCAACCGATCCACCTGCACAGGATAATTTTGTAGCCACTCAACTGATCAATTAGTCTTACCTCATACACTATTATGTCTTTTGGAAGAGTAAGTTTTCATCTTCCTCAGTCAGTCATACCACAGCTTGAAAGAGTTCATTCTATTCAACCTTTCCTATGCAAGATTTGATAAAGAAAAATCAGGGAGAGCATGGCCAGCCCTGGCTCATGGAGTTTGATTGCTTCTGTATCCAGAAGATCTTCAACGCACCAGAAACTTACAAAACCTTTCTATATGCCTAGTTAAAACTGAGACTATTCATCAACAATGACACAAAATAGGTGTCATTATCCCCATATGCAGATTGAACTACTGAGGTTCAATGAGGTTAACCCACTTTTCAAAGTCCTGCTCATAATCTGAAGGCCTTTATTCAGTTATGAAAAATCAGGCACTTGAACAAGTTAGAATCAATTATTGGCTTTAAATAATTTCTTTTTGTACATTTTCTTACCGGTGCCTGTAAAATCATCTGTGGTGGTACGAATTAAAGAGCAAGTTTTCACATCTCTCTACCAGGTGTCTCTTTCTCCAAGTGCAGACATGCAGAGGGTGAAGAAAGGAAGAAAAAAAAAGTATTTGATCAGTAATCATAGTGATACTGACCTACCTATGTGCTTATTTGATAATTTTGACTGAATAAATTTCTAATAGTTCAGGGAGAAGAAAGTTATATTAACAGGAATTTGACATTAAATCTCTGGTAATATAGTCTTGAAAACTGAATAATATCTTTATCATTCCTTTTTCATAAAAAAGGAAAATTCAAAGAATATTTTCTTCTTAAATTACAAAATTATGGTTCTGAAATTCAAGCATGTATAATTTTGATGTGCCCTCTCTATTATTTTTTGTAACCGTTACATAAATATAGATTCAGAATATTGTGACTGAAATTCCCAGAGGGCATTTTTGTGAAACTTAACAGCAAAATGTAGTTGACACTCGTTCTGTGTTACCCTAGGGCTACAGTTTTGATCACAGTCTGTGGGGATTCATTCCTGTCGGGACAATGAATTTTATACTCATGTTACAGGTAAATTTTACAATCCTTTTGCCTTTTTAAAGTACAAATGAAGGAAGAACAAATTCAGTTAAAATATTTCAATCGAAACCTAAAGAAAATAATAGTATCAAACAGATATAACATATAGACCAAAATCAGTCCCCTTTCAATTCTGATTGCCTAATTAAATATATTGTAATGCTAATATTAATGTAAATACATGCACATTTATACAATTACAATTATTTTTAACATTAAATTTATCACTATAAATAGAAAATAGGAACAAATGAGCTAGGAATTTATCAGTTGCTCTGTAATCATAAGAAAGCAGGGGCTATTTTGCTACTAAATCATATAAACAGAACAGTCCATTATATATCATCTTTGAGTTTTAAAACATTGTTAAGTCCTGATTCCCCTTTGCACAGGTATAAGGTACCAGTGACAGTTGCCTTGAATTTTTTAAAAAAGTACATTCTGATGGTAGGTTCCCAAGAAGGTTAAATATAAATTAGTCATAAAGCCAATGGAACTGACAGGAAATGATTAGGCTGTATGATTATTTCTAAATTTATAGTGTTTTAACACTACTAGTGTTTAATTAAGGAGAAAAAGGAGTCAATTTTATTTTATATGATTATATAAGACCTCAAAAATTAATGTTCATCTTACTCTGTAATGCTGCAGTTCTAAAGCGATGTTGAAGACAACAAAGTCCCATTTGATAGTCTAGCCTTTCAGCAAAGAGCTCTTCTTCCTGTCTTTGATGTAGGAATGGTTGATTTAATCAATTATTAATCAAAGTTATGGCATTCTTCTTATATATTTAGGTAAAACTAAAAGATGACTTTCCCAAGGCTTATTGCTTAAATAAAAGTTTAAATAGACTGTGAAAACACTGGACTTTGACATGGCAGATATGGCAGTGATTTAAGTTTCAGAGAGCCACTGGTCTCAACTGGGTGCTTAAATAAAAAGGTGTGTGTGTGTGTGTGTGTGTGTGTGTGTGTGTGTGTGTTCAATGCAATTTTCTAGAAGTAGATGATAAGCATGAGCCGAAATACCCAGAGCACTTTTGATAACCTTCCCATCACAAAAGGCAGGACAGACAATCGGATTTGTTTTCTTCGCACAGGTGTTAAAGTTGACAGGAAGCAGCTGAAAGACACAGCCTTGTGGTGCGAGCCGGGCAGCTGGACACTGTGCATGGAGAATCTCGAGCAGTTGGTAACAGTTGGCAGCTTAACATAGAAAAAAAAAAAAATCACTGCTAGCAAAATCTCAACTGCTGCTAATTAGCAGCAATGAACTGTGGGTAGGACAGTGCGTTTTAATGTGAGAAGATTTTTACAGTAACCACCACACTAAGGGGAGAAAGAGAAAGAAATGCTCCTTAGCTGACCCTCATGGCAATCCAAGCTGCATATTGCAATAATCCTGTAAATTACTATGCTTTCTTATACAGTAACTTGGAGTTAATTAGTAATTTAACATTCCTCTACACTATTAAATGTCTTTCTTGCATTATATTATGTTGTTTCATGGGCTTACCTTAACACTAATGGGGTTTTGTTATATTTTCTCAAAACAGTAACAGTAAAATAAAACTGAGCTAGAAAATTAATTAGTTATCTTTTACCTTTGATTTACCTGTTATTAACAATTAAGTGGTGGTACACGTTTTTAAAGTAGTTCTGGAGGTTAGGCTGAGATGAAGATGCTTCCAGAATATATTACAGAGGAAAAGTGAATAAAAATGAGTAGTGTACAGGCTTCAAGAGACTACACTGCAATGCCGAATGCAATGCAAACACGTTTCATATTTCCACTCTAATAGGGAGGGGTAATGATTGGTGGGTGGAGGAGGGCCGAGGGAGAGGAGGAAAGCTTATTTAGCTACATTCACTAATTTTTAAGAGAATCTTTGCAAAGAAACATTCATATCATTCATGGGTTTATGCCATAAAATGTGAATATGCTAGAGTGAAGTAGTGGATTTTACCATATAGCCATACAGAAAAAAAAATGCACTTTTTTTTTTTTTTTTTTTTGCGGTACGCGGGCCTCTCACTGTTGTGGCTTCTCCCGTTGCGGAGCACAGGCTCCGGACTCGCAGGCTCAGCGGCCATGGCTCACGGGCCCAGCCGCTCCGCGGCATGTGGGATATTCCCGGACCGGGGCACGAACCGGTGTCCCCTGCATCGGCAGGTGGACTCTCAACCACTGCGCCACCAGGGAAGCCCAAAAAATGCACATTTTTGTAGCTCTGTGGTTTGTAAATGCCAAAGGATTTTGTAGGATTCTGTGACTGGGGAAAAGTGATATTCAAAAATTTAAATAATATAAATTAATGCACGCAATATTAACATTCAAGTAGAACCTGAGGTGAGAAATTGTGGTAATCAAAATTATTCTGATCACCTGAATGGAAAAAAATGTTAAAATTATTAATATGTTTTAAAAAAATTTCTTAACCAGCCACCTCTTTCTTCCCCTGCAAACTTAATTTCCCTATCGAAGGAGGCAAATACAGCAGTATTACACACATGCACTTTAAAAACTGTTCTTACTTAAAATTGAAATTCTGTGTATTAAAGATAAAGGAAGTGTTTTTATCTGGCATATCAGTGATCAATGTGAACTCGAAGGTGGAACAATTTAGTAAAAGCAGGGCTTCAGAAGAAGAAAAGCTACATATGTGTACGTGGAAAGGAATGAATTCAGTACAAAACACTTCCAAAAGATTTCGTCTCTTGGGGCTCCCTCTAAAAGAGTGTCTGCTACCATTTAAAACCCTATCCTTTGCAGCTGGATTTGAACATTCCATAAAAAATTCATCTGCGCTTTAAGAGATTTCTGCTTTTCTGTCCTCTCTATTGTTAGACAAATTGAAGTGTGCACTCAGAAGGAGAGTGGCAGTGAACTGCGAATTTATTTACTCATTCGATTCTAATATTGAGAGAATCTACTCGCTCCGTTCAAAGGGTAGAGCAACAATGCAAGTGACATCAGGTCACCCAGCACTTCATAGCTACCTGTGAGATAGAATTGTTCTCCTTGCAGATAGGAAGTGACTGAAACCTCTTTTTCTCATCAATGTCTATTATGATTGATGGCTCTATGGTCACACTGAATATGCCCTTTTTAAATAATTCACAGTGTCATCACCATAGTACTAGTTTATAACTAGCCTGTTATTTTTACCTTTGTTCATTCACTATCAGAAGGTTAGATAAATTAAGTACTGTGTGGATTTTGGTAGCATTATAACCAACCAAAATACAGTGTTTACAGCCCAACAACAACAAAGCATCAGTTTTATTTTTTTACGACACTCTGAATGTCTCCCTCTCAATAAATCCTAAAAGGAAATTCTGATAAAGCAGAAGCACTTGTAGCACACTTTAACCTGAAACCACTCTTTGGTATTAAGACATCATTAAGACTTTCAGTATAAGAAGCAGTCATGCTGTAGTGAGACAGATGAAAGTTTATCTGAATTCTACACTTATTTCAAAATAAAATATTATGTTTATTTAATGCCTCCGTAATAACAAAATTTACAATTCACTTCCAAATATCTAATGCACAAGTTGTACAAAAAAGCAGTAAAAGCATATATTTAAAAAACATAATGCTTAATATTGGGAGTGTACTATACAAGAAATAATATAATACTTTGATTCATTTTCCAAATTGATTCAAAATCAGTTTTGTCAGATGGACCAGCACTAAATAGTCACTAAAACAAATAATTACAAATTATTTGTAATAATACAAATTTTTTTATATTGTGCTATACCCTAATCATTGATAGGTCCATTATACAAATTCAAAATATCAATTAAGGGACTATATACTGCCTTAAATAATCAGAGTTGCTTTAGATTTTAATTTTAATGTTGCGATCAATAGTAATTCAAAAACTTTTATTTGTGCAAGTTTTCTCACATAGTATGAAAGCTTCGAATCCCAGATTTTTTTTTTTTAATTTAGGTATCATGTACATATTCAACCTATAATAAATGTATAACTTTTAGAGATGAACTGTGTGGTTTAATAGACTTGTGTCTTTCTAAACATTTACCTTGGTGTTTTTCTTTTCAGTATCCTAAATTTGGATTCTTATCATTTGTTGATTTTACTGTTGAATTGTTTCTCTAAGTATTAATATCAGGGGGAATGAAAGACTATAAACTTGTCTGCACTTAAAGTATGTGGTCAAAGTCTCAGTATGCTGTCATAAGTAAAAGAAGTCAAACTGATAGCTAGTAATTGCCATGTGATCAGGAATGCTATAATTAAAAGTTCAGAGCTTCTATTCATTGATTTACCCAATAAATATTTATTGGCCACTAGGAAATGGAGAGACCTGGCTCTTGTTTGTATGAAGCTTAGATTCTACCAGGGAAGACAGACAACAATTTTTTTTTTTTTTAATAAATAAGGCAACCACAGACAGCAATATGTGCATTGAAGAAAATAAAGTAAGGTGATGTGCTAGAGAGAGACTGGGGTAAGCAGGTCTTAAGGGCCTTATTTAGACTGGTCAAGAGAAGCCTTCCTGTGTGGGTGATACGGTGCTGAGACAAATAATGAACAGGTACGATATGAAAAGATACGGGGCTAGATTATTCTAGATCAGTTAATCCCAGTTCCTGCTATGGAAAAAATAAGCATGGTATTTCAAAATAACTAGAGTGATGAGAAGGCTGATCCAAGATTGGGTCAGGGAGACAGGCAAGGGCTGGGACAAATGTGGCATTTAGACCATAATCTGTTTGGATGATATCCAGTTGTATGCTACTTAACTTCTGGGAGCCTCAGTTGTTTTAACTCCGGTATAGGGATAGGTTCAATAAGAAAGATCAATAAGAAAGTACCTAACACAGTGTTTGACAACTTGTAATGGCTCAATTAATGTGACATCTCTTTACCATGTCTTTTGAATGTAAAGTTTCAAAATTACTAAGCACAGAATTCCACATTATCCCTACTGATATTTATTAATTCTCGTTTTTATATTAATTAAGCATTCCCAATGGCCAAGAGTAGTGAGAGCCCCATCAGAAGAATCTTTTTAAGAGGGACAGGGGGAACTGGTTATAGGGGGGATAAAATATGAAATTAATATCACTTATTTAAAATGTTGGACAACTATATTTTATAATGATGGCAAAAATGAAAACAAGGTATTTTTCTAATTTTCATAAAATATTCAGAATTTATAAAATTCAGAATTCAGTCAGACCATATATTTAAATTTTGCCTGGTATTTTTATTTTTTTTAATTGGAATATAGTTGATTTACAATGTTGTGTTAGTTTCAGGTGTACAGAAAAGTTAATCTTATACATATACATATATCCACTTTTTTTTTAGATTCTTTTCCCATATAGGTCATTACAGAGTATTGAGTAGAGTTCCCTGTGCTATACAGTAGGTCCTTACTACTTATCTATTTTATATATAGTAGGAGGTATATGTCAATCCCAATCTCCCAATTTATCCCCCTCTTCCCCCCTGGTAACCGTAGATTTGTTTTCTACATCTGTGACTCTATTTCTGTTTTGTATATAAGTTCATTTGTACCATTTTTTTTAGATTCCACATATAAGCAATATCATATGATATTTGTCTTTCTCTCTCTGATTTACTTCACTCACTATGACAATTTACCTGGTATTTTTAAACAGGCTTTTTGTGTGTTTATTAACACGTTGTGTTAATTCTTCCTTATATAATTATCCTTTATTACATAATATAGGATTATCTGTGACTTAAAAAATTTGGGAAAATTTGAGTGGGATTTTCAGAGGTGAATGTCACCAGCCTTGACACATGAAAGTGTGTCACTTATGAGAAGATTCGCAGCTAATTCCAGCCAGTTATCAAATCAAGCCACAAGTGGAGATTTGAACTCTAACAACAGTATCACAGAGTCATTTGTTATATTATGATTAAGATGTTGGCATTTGATACATCCTACTATCTACAACAGCTCTACATATAACCAGGGTTCTAATTAAAAATGAAAAATAAGTTTATGGTTTGGGAACCCAATCAGACTGGGGAAAAAAAAAAATCAAAGTCTTGAGTAAAAGGACTCACTGCACTAAGCAAATTTTTTCTAGAACAAAAGACAACAGATACTCCGTCATTTCTAACACTCTCTTCTCAGATATAGTATAGCATATTGTGGTGCAGTATATTATCACATCTGATTACTTATTATTGTGTGGCTATTGGAGTTAAGAAAGATTGAAGAGATCATCTTTCCAAATCCTCACTTATCACACACTTTTCTAGGAATATAATAAACATAACAAATATAATCCCTACCCACATGAAGCTTGTCATTTGATTTAAAAAGACAAATCCAATAAAAGTGACTTTTCTAACCCTCTCCATTTCCCTCAGATAAAAATGGAAAATTGGAACAAGAGTTCAAGTCTTCAGGCTTCTGCTTTATTAATATTTCTAGTACTCCAGTCCTGGGAGTCAGAAGGATTATTTCAGTTTTCTATTCACTGACAAATACTTTAGAAATACTTTAGAAACGACCTTTGTATATGATATATTCATTAGCTTACATCTAAAAAAATAATTATTCAGACCAGTAGTGTTTATCTTCTTTCTGTCTTTTAATGGGAATGCAGTTCTCAGATACTAACAACACCTTTTAAGTTTTCATATGAGGAAGGCAAGAAACATAGACTTAAAAGAGAACTCCCATGGTCTAATGATGTCCCACAGAACAATGAAACAAAGCTGTTATTCAGGTTAAGTTATATGCAGAGTAATCGAACTAAGTTGGTCTATGACAACTTTCCAAATAAAACTTCTAATTCAAATTTTAAAAAATGTTCTCATTACTGTAATACAAATTTCTCCAAGCTTTGAGAGCAAATGAGGTGGCATTAAAATTAGTATTCAAATTTAGTATGTTATTTCTTCCTGTTACTTGATATTGTATATTCAGCCCCCTATAAAATACTTTTGTCTACAAAATATTTCCAAATGTTGCCAGTGTTTCTCTCACAGACTCTGCTCCAATTCTGCAACCACCAACTCTTGTTTAATCTGTTGAGCAGTATCTTGTCTCCAGTCACGTCAGTTCTTGCCGTACTTGCCTCCACTGTATTGGGCATTGCAGTTATCACCAACTCACCAGCAGCACAGCCATCTCTACAAGATCCTTGCTGTTTAATCTTCTCAACTGAGTGCCACGTTCATTCCTACTGTTCCTCTAGGAATGACAGCTCACATTTGGTCGTTTTACTGTTCTCTTTCAATGCCAAAAGTGATTTGGTACCAGTGGACAAATGGTATATTCTCTTAGGTGTTAATATTCTTTTAGGGGGTGTCCTTGAGTAGTACTGATTGGACTCCAGTATTATAGAGCTACAACTCTTAATTTACTTATCAGCACTCTACCATGTATATGATCATGTCTTAATGAGTTAATACTTATACTACAAAATTATTACTCCTTTTTGAACATCTAGGTAAATTAGGTCAAACTTATACTTAGCTCCTTATCAATGGACTCAAACGAAACTAAAATTAAGGATTTAAAGAATCTTAGAAACGCAATGTGAATAAAGGATAATGTTTTTAAACAGAAAATGAAAGGCTAAGCATCATTGCCAACTCATTAAGATTTCTTTCTAAATACCAAGACAAAGAGCAAAGGTCAATACTCGGGTATCCATCTTATATTTCTTTATCCTGCATGAGTAATTCTCTAGTGACTTCTAGATGGTCTACATATTGGTGGGATATTTAGCTACTGGAGGACATTGATTCTGCCAAAAGTTCAGGCTTTCTAATACAAAAGTTTGAGCTTACATGAATTACTTCTCTATCCCAAAATTGCAGAGAGAAGGGGCATTCATTTTATCTTTCGCCTTTTTGTCTTTAATGGATAATACCTGAATTTTTGTATTCCATTGACAGTGGAAAATATTTGAAGCCAACATGTTATCTTACTGTTACTAATATAAAGGGAACCAAAAAACCAACAGAAAGTGCAAACAATCAAAAAGAAGACTAACTTTATCATTGCTGTTGGCTGATGGCCTTGTCTGATCAAAATACAGTAAGAAACCCTGATCTAAGAACTGACTAGGATTACACAAGAGTTTTATGGATGTGACTGGAGTGTGAGAATTCCACATTGATTGTACATGTGTTTTAAAGGATTGATCTTCTACAAAAACAAAATAGAAATAAATTACCCTTATCCATACGAAACACATTATGAGCAAGATTGGTTTCCCAAAATTCATGTAGATGGGATTGTGGTGTCTGAATGGAAGTCTTTGCTTTATGAAAATTATAATTATTTTGATTTTTGTCTACAATCAGCTTGAAATGTTGGCAAAACTCTGCAGGTGCTCGCTGTTATAACAAAACCATGGGAACAGATGGTGCAAGGTACCAGGCCAGCTCAAGGGATTAAATTTGAGGCTTTTGAAATTTAAAATTGAAGCTGGGTGATCTTGGGAAAGTGTGCCTGCCAAACATGGTTGCTTAAAAAAATAAAACTAAAAATAAATTATCCAAATTCTCTTGACAAGCTTATTTACATTCAAATGACTGGGAAATATTAAGTGGTTATAAAGTACTCCTGGCAGGGTATGGCCTACCTGACCACATTAAAATATGAAATGCTCACATCCATTATGGTGCTAAGGCTTTGCCTGCAGTGACCCCCCTCTTAGGTTTGGTTCCTAATGGGAACCAATTTCTTTGGGCAAGGTGGTACATTTTAGGTGCTAAAATAAAGGTAACCTAAACACTATCTCTTTTAACTAGACAGAGTGAAGTATCTTGGTTGAATCGTTGAGGATGATTTAAAGATTTACATGAATTGCTGTTGGTAGAATAAATGAGAAAAGCAAAGTTTCAAAAGTTAAAATGGTCATAGATTTACTTGTCTTAAGAACTAAACCCATGCTAAAGACATATTAATGAAAACTTTTAAAATATCAAAGTTGTTATTTTTGTGTCTGCACTCTATTTTTTATAATAAAATAATGTCTTATAATACATATTACCACATCTGAGCAACTGCTATGTAACATGAAATGTGTGTTATATTAACTTTAATGCTCCCAAGTTTTTTTTTTACAAGGTAGATACTATTATCTGTATTTGCAGATGTAGAAACATTCTACATTACTTGGCAATTAAGTTTTGTAAAACTTGTTTATAAGACTAGGTGAGTTTGGCTTCAATCATCTTTTTTTTTTTTTCTTTTCAGTTTGCCAAATGTATTTGTATCATCTCATTTGATCCCATCAGCAATACTTGAGGGACTTCCCTGGTGGCGCAGTGGTGAAGAATCCGCCTGCCAATGCAGGGGACATGGGCTCAATCCCTAGTCCAGGAAGATCCCACATGCCGCGGAGCAGCTAAGCCCGCGCGCCTAGAACCCGTGCTCCGCAACAAGAGAAGCCACTGCAATGAGAAGCACGCGCACCGCAAGAGTAGCCCACGTTCGACGCAACTAGAGAAAGCCCATGTGCAGCAACGAAGACCCAATGCAGCCAAAAAATAAATAAATAAAATAAATAAACTTATAAAGAAAAAAAAACAATACTTGGAAGTGAATGCATAGGTGATAATACCCATTTTATAGATCAAAACAACAGAACTTTTGAGAGGGACTGAGAATTGCAGCATTTCACGTGACCATGAAATGGCAGAGCCAGGCATAAAGCATGGGTTTCCTGTACTGTGTTCAGTATTATTCGCATTGACTGATTGATTGGGTTATATAACCCCGGAGTAGAATGAGGCATTTGAGGATGTGGGTGCAGGTAGTTTAGTCTTTATTGTTTCCTCTGAAAAAAAAAAAGAAAAACATCTAGTGGCTTAGATCATCATGTTTCTTCTTTTTTTGGGTTATAGTGTTATTCATGATCATGGGTTAGAATTCTTTTTATCTTCTCTAGGGGATTTGAGGCTTATAAGAAGTTAAATGAGTCAGACCTATATGCAAGATATTGGTCTAGGCATTTGAGACATAGAGCCTGACATTAGAATAATCATAATCTAGTTAAATTGTATAATACATATTTGTATTATACATATTTGTATATATAATTGTATAATACGTATTTACATATTTGATTTCATCTAATCGCTTTAAAAATATGTTGAGTTAGTATTGTTATTCCTATTTTAAATATGAAGAAATTGAGGCTCTGAAAGATTAGTTTATTTTCCTGAAGGCACAAAGCTGAAACATGGGAATGCTGGAATTCATGTACAGGTCCAACTGACTAAAACCAGAAGGGGACTGAGAATGTACACAATTGAGATGAGATGTAGAAACTGGGATAAAGAGTCAGAATTGGAATGTAAATGAGGTGATATGAAAACACTCTGATTGGAGGAGGTTCTCATTATAGGCGGTAACGTTTGGGTTGAGTTCTTGAAGGGGGATTTTGCATCATAGACTAGGGAATGAATGGAGTTTAAGCAAGGGTAGTGTCAATAAAGCCATGGAGTCATGAAAGTTCATTCTACATTGAGAGAAAAGTGGAATGTGAGTTTGGAAATCCTCATAACGGAAAAAATAATCAAAATGATAAATACAGAGCACATTTGAGGAGGGAGAGGTTCAAGGTCATCTATTTATCTTGGATTTGAGAAGGCTATTATAAATGCTGAGGTAAGTGGAGCCACTGCAGAGCTGAACCATCTGTCTTTGCATACATTTCTCCCAAGTACCTAATGAAATGTTTCTAAAGCTAAGCTTTAGATTACACAAGAAGGCTTGGATATATTCAGAAAAAACATTTACATTGTTTATGAGAATGTGTTTTTCCTTCCTAAGGTTTACAACACTTTTCTTTTCTACTATCTTCTTGACTCATTCATTGTGAAAGCCACAGTGCTTTTTCATGAAGAACACAATCTTTATTCCAAGTTTTAAAGTCCTATACATTATACCTGTATCTCGATTGAACAAAAATTGAATATAAATAAAATCCATTATGTTTTATAGATCTTTGATGAAGATTTATCCAGGGTAAAAGTGTGACTTTTATTCATCCACTATTAGTGGGTGAGTTTTTCTAGTGTCTGCAGTATCAGTGACCATTTCGTACTGATTAATGGTGTTAAAGTAGGAATACATGTAGTGGAGACTTGCTATTCTCAGTAGACCTGGAAATGGAACGCTTGCCCAGCTTTATGTCTCTCTACTTTGCCTCTGTTTACCTACAGGAATATTTCCAATATCCCTAAAAGTTGTGGCCATATTTGCAACTGCAAAACCAAGTATAGCTTTGCTAAATTTGTGGTTATCATCTATATAAATATGAGAATAGCTATAGAAGAAGCCATTACAAACAATTTATAAAATAAGATTAATTGCTGTGCAATCTGTTACTTTGAACCACCTTCCTAAAGAAATATTTTGCCATTGACCAGGTCACTCATAAAATTTCCTGGTTATACATCAGCATTTTAGCAACTACAATTCCTAATAGACTTTAGAGGAAGAAAACCATCTACTTCTCCTTATTCATTGAGACACTAAAATGAGCCAGCTCACAAGCACTTAGAGAATAACAGACTCAAAGTAAAGTGAGGCAAAGATTGTGTTCAGATTGTGTTTCAAGAATTTCACTAGCATTCATTGTAACTATTATTTCACGGAGGAGTGTGGGTTCTACAGGCTTTCTGTATATTTAGAAAAAAATCAAAACTTACTACAACATTTTTGAGAACATTTAAGCACAAGAAAGAAGGCATGTACTTTTCACTCAGACATGAACTTGATAAGCAGAGTTGTGCAAGGCTGAAGAGGCCACAATACCAAAGCATCTTACAAATCCAATATTACTGGCCAATCTTTGCTTGCATCTTTGTTACTGTTCTAGATAACCTATTAATTATAACTTTATTATTCGTATGAAAAAATGTGCCTGGAAAATAATTTAATCATTTATTAAGGCACTTTATTTACTTTCATCACAGTTTTTTCCCCTAAGAGTTTAAGTTCATTGACAGTGGAAAGACCCTGGAAGCCACAGTAAGTTCATTGTACAGTTAAACCTTATGACCTTGGAAAAGGAGAACCAGCAGCTGACCTGATGGTATCAGATGTTAAAGGCCTGGAAGGACCTGACAGTGGCAGAAAAAAAACAGGTTGATGAGGATTTGTGCCATTGACAGCAATTTGATAATAATAATTGACTGACTCTCTTTTCTTCCTCCTTTTATATACCTGATCTAGTTTGTCTTAGTAAAAATTTCGAAGACTTTCATGAGGTATTATGGTTATAGAGATGGAATAAACAAAAGTCTGCCAGCATCAGACCAAACCTTTCTGCTTTGCACACCAGACACTTGATTAGGATGTTTTATTTGGCAGGTACAGGCTGACAGGCAGAACTGATTTAAATTAACTAGAGAAGGAAAAAAGTGTGGCAATCTAAATTTTAAAAGGGAGAATTTATAGCAAAGGCCTGTGTCTGTCTCCTTGTGCTGTGTCATTGAGCACATATGGCTCTTTATATTAGCCTGCCCCATGACAAAGCCAGTGTTTATTCTGGCTGCTGCTTAGAAAAAAAGTGAGCTTCAGAATAAAAGCATGAGGGACTGGGTCGAGACATTAATTATAAATGTACAGTTCTTAGAATGTTTTTCTTCAAGACTTTACTCTCTAGTAAGATTTTCCCCTTATATTAAAAAAGAAATAACTTGTCATCCGAGGTCCTTTATTTTTCTAAATAGAAAGACAATGCCTTCACTAAAATATATGTTGAGGCCAAAATTCCATTAATACTATAGCCAAGTAAAATATTATCCAGCTTGGGAATACTGCAGCACATCAGAATTATAGTTTCTAGCATTTTGATACATAGTAATGATTTTGGTGTGAAAGAATATATTATTCTAAGGAAGAAAAAATACATTACTTTGGTTGCATCCAAACTATAAAGCATTTCTCATTTAAAATTATCCATCTTTTTTCAATTTAGAAAGAATTTGGTTCAGTTGAGTCCTATTTTTGCAATATCTTAGGATTTTAAAATATCACCCTGTTTTGAAATGTAAATTAGCACACATTGGTAGGAGAGGAATGGATTATGAGTTATATATGGGCCAAAACTCTAATATCCAAACCATATGGTTCTAATCCAAATTGGAGTATTTCTTTTTTAGTGGAAATAATTGGATTTATTCTGAATCACTGCGACATTATCCATTTAGTTTTCAGGGAACTTTGAAAGTATCTCAATCTAGATGAAGAAGTGGACAGGTAAGTCATTTCCCTCCTGTCAAACTGATAATGAAAGCTACTGCTATAACACAGGCTATCACAAAAGAGAAAAAAGAATACCCTTTTTCATACCTCCTCCCCCACAAAGTGTATGGCATATATGCCTCAATTCCAGATGTAATAAATAGAATTAATAGTTAAAGCAGAGTAAAAGTTGTGCATCAAAGATGAGCCATTTCCATTGCAAATAAGCCCAGAAAAGACAAACATTGACCATTTCTTACCATGGAGTAGAAAGAGTCTTGCAGATTCTCTGTAGAACACCAACCTAACAATTAGTTGAGACTACTTTTCCATTAATCAACTAAATATTTGCTATGAAATAAATTAGGGTTTAAAGGAACTGAAGGACATTTGCAAATGCCTATGTTTTAATGTGTATGATACATTACAGAATTTAGAGTCTTCCCAATATGTTAAGTTTCAATTTCTACTGAAGTAGAGTTGTCTTAAAATGATTTAAATTATATAATAATAATGAATATCTGACCATATTTAGGGCCTAAGTATTATCGTTTTCTGAAAATAAAATAAATTCCAACAGTGCATTTCAAAATCAAGTAAAGGAGACTTCCTCTTTTAAGACAGAAGAAAAATAAAATGCCCCTCTTTTCTTAGAAATAACATCAAAACAACAAGGAGAGCAAGAAACAGAAACATATATTCTTCCTTGACAAAACTAGGAGTCGACTACAACCTCAAACTACAATTTGTGAAGAAGCACTGCTAAATAGAAGAAAAATCAAACAATTATGTGACGGTGCTGTCAGAAGAGGTCTCAAAGTGGCAGAGCAGGGTTCTCTAAAAAAAGAGAGAGGTTTACACCGAAGAGCAAATCAAACAAACTGCAGCTTGGAGTAATGGAATGATGGAATGGGTGTGTGCTGCAAGTGGTAGTCAGCACCTATGCTGGGGCATGAAAAGGAAGCACAGACATAAGGGATGAGTCTCACAGAGACCTGTAGTTTCAAAAGCACTGTGACAGTGAAGCAGAAAAAGAG